AGTTCCGCAACATAATATTGATGTAATTGTGGATACAACTCCCAAAGCTCCACTACACTGTAGCAGTAGGGCAATTTGCTGCGAATCAAAAGACACGCAATTCCCGTTTGCACCGCCACACGAGCCAATAAATCCGCAAAAGACATCAAACTCTCTTTTCCAGCTTCTACCATAATATCCACTACTGTACCAAGAGGCATATCACGTCCCTCCACCACGTACTCATCAAGTTCTCGGTGAACTCGCATCATCGCTGGAAGAACAAATCCAACACTCACGGCCAATGTAGTGGTATTCTCTGCAAAACGTCGTCGGATAACTGCTCCAGCGGTGAAATTACGATCAGGAAAGACACGACCGCCACGCGCTAAAATATACGTGCGATCCCTTAACGCAGAAACCACACCAGAGTCGCTCATCGATGAGTGAAGAATATTACTGCTTGGAAATAATAATAATAATAAAAAAAAACTCACTTTTAAATGTTTTCTTTCTTTTTTTTTTTGGTTTCGCTCAACTCACAAACAGAAAAGGAATGACACGAGAAACTATTACAAGATATAAAAATAAATAAACAAAAAAGAAAAGAGTAAGGGTTAAAAAAAAAAAGATACATAATGGAAATAAACAACGTATTAGACCCCCAATTATGGTAAAAAAGGAGGGTATGAATCATTAGAGAAAGGAAAGAAAAAATACATATATATATATCAATGTAGTTGTAATTGTTCCTTTTTTTGTTTTTCTTTTCCAATGAAGAAAAAGGAAAACAAAAAAGAAACTCTAGTACAAGCCCTTAACTTCCCCTCCCACCCACCATGTTCACCAAAATCACAGGTACACAAACACAATGAAAGAGAGAAAAGGAAAAAAAAAGAAAGAAAAGCAGCTTATATAATAAAGCATATCACGAGCTAATCTGAATGGCTCGTGGTATAAATACACCACTAGATGTGGGCTCTTCTTCCGATGAGCGGTGCTGCTGTTGACGTTCTTCTGCTGATGCCGCTGGCATCTCAGAGTCTCTTGTCGTTCGTAGCGAATCATTTGTACGCTGTTGAGTCTCCGTTCGTGGTGAATCAATCGGATGATCTCGTCGAGATGCAAGAAAACGAATACCGCCGGAAAACTGATCCACTAAATCTTCTGTTGTTCGTTGTCGTTGTGGCATTGGCTGCTGCTGTTGTTGTTGTTGCTGCTGCTGTTGTTGCTGTTGAGTAACTGATGAAGGCATCAAGGAAATTGGTTCTGCTACTTGTCCCTCCAAACCAAGTCGTCGTAATACTCGTTGAATACGTAAAAGTTCTTTACGATGACGGCACAGTACCTGTACATCAGCTGTACGCTGTTCTAATCGTTGCCGAAGCACTGCATTTTCCTCTGAGAGAACTACTACTCTATTGTTAAGGTCTTCATTTTCTGCATTCAGTTTTTCTACCGTGCGTTCCACAATGGCAAAGGGACTATTAGAATTATTCAAAGCCTCACGTGCCATTTCTAGTGATGCTTGCAGACGTGCGATTTGCTTATCTTTAAACTCAATATCATGCTGCAATGCTGTCACACGGTTCTCTAGCTGTAGACATCGTTTCGTTACCGTTAAAGTATGTGCGAGTTTGCGTGATCGCGGCAAGGCTAACCAACTCTCATAATTGTTTAAAGCGTTCACAGATGTAGGTGCAGTTTGTGAGCCACCAGGACCACCACTGACTGCATTCGTCACAGCCACAGGAGCAGCAAGTGAGATCTGCCCATCACTCTGCTGCGCCAAGTTCGATATAAATAACTCTGATTCCAACTCAAGATCTGAAAGTGTCTTAAGCTTCTCTTCTGCTGCTTTAAGACATGCCTCAAGTTCCATCACACGTTGACTGTTTTTTAATTTTAATTCATAATATTCCGATTTTAATATGTCTAATTTTTGTTCCGAGCATTCTGCACTCGTCTTGTACCGCTCTGCTTCCATTTCCGCCTCACGCAACCGAACCGAAAGCCGCGTGGCCTCTTCCGTTTTTATAGAAGCAGTTAATTTTGCGGTAAGAAACTGTTCCTGATCCATATAAGCGTTACGCAGTCTGGCTTCCAAATCACGTGATTTGCCTTCTAACTCCACAACCGTACTGCCGCGCTGTTCTGCTTCTTGTAGTTGACGACGAAACGATTGCCTCTCCGCCTCCACAACAGCCTCTAATTCTTTCAATCGCTGTTGCAATTCCTTGTTTTCACCGGTGAGACGTGCCGTTTCCGTTGCCAGTTCTGTTGCCCGTTTCACTGCTGTATCCTTTGAGGCCCGCATCGTTCCCAGCTGTTGATAGATACCAAGCCTCACCGTATCGAGGAGATCCCGCTTTCCCTCTTCTAACGAGTCAATCGCATGATACTCCTCCTCCGTCACGGGGTTCATCAACTCCATTCGTATTTGCGACTTGAGACGATCCACCTGCGACTGCGTGGCGGCGAACTGCTGCTGCAGACGAAGTGTGAGTGCCGACACCTCCACCTCTCGTCCCCGCAGTCGTGTGTTCTCCTCCTGCAGAATTCGAATCTCATCCTTCTGCCGCTCAATCCGCTGCAGCAAATCACGCGAGGAACTCGGCAGACCGACGAGTACTGACGGGGTGCCGCCACTTCCATCCGTAACACTTGTGGCATCATCCGTGAGACTCGACGTTGTGGCCGGCGACGACGACAGGCGCCGCTGACGGGCCGCAGGACTCGCCAACGACATACGGTGTGAACCCTCACAAGGATAAATACACTTAAAGAAAAAGAGAGAGAAATGGAAATATAAACAAGTAGATAGATAGAGAGAGTATTCTACTGCACCAACCAGTGGGCAAGAACACAAGCCACAACATTACCAACAACACTAATAATAATAAAAAGAAATGAATAACAGAGAATGGTGAGGGCGGAGCACCAAACATCCAGAACTGCTGTAGACCCTCCATGCCACATCACTCCATTATATTATTACCCATAAAAGTAGAAAAGAAAAGAAAAGAAAACCCACGCACTCCAGCAGCTGCTCCCCATGGTTTCAAAGCCTCAGCAGTAAGTATTTGGGGTTCAGCCCAGCACGTGTTGCAAGAAGAAAAAGATCATTTACCAATGTGTATTCCACCCAAGAAGAACACTCATAAAAAGAAGGAAAAGCAATGCTTTACAAACCCTTGTTTCTCCTACTATCCTTCACACACACAAAAAAAAAAAAAAAACAAATTCATATGATTCACCAACGTCTGTTATTGCAGTCATTGTTATCAAGTAGTACGGAACATCACAATGACATTGATCAAAAACAGACGAGGGATCACATATAACTCAATAAAGCAATTAAATTAAAGACCAAAGAAATTAAAGTGATGTGTAGAAACAAAAAGAAAAAAATCGTATTATCGCGTTCCACACAAATGTATATATGAGATAGAGCTCATGGAACCATTATCACAGAGAGTATCAAGAAAACAAACATAACACTTGCAAAAGAAGAAGCTTTAAAAGTACCATCAGTGCCTTTTTTTGCAGTAGTTTTATTATTCTGCCCACTCACAGATGAGGTATTACCTTCTTCCTTAGTTTCGCTGGGGTTTGATTCCATGGTCGTACTTGCCTCATTTTCTACCACTGGCCCAGTAACATTCTCGTTTGTTCCTCCACTGTTACCTGCACCAGCTCTTTCACTTGGTTTGGTGGTTTCAGTGGTCTCAGCTTCTGGTAGACTTGTTTGGATTGCTTCAACAATGTCTGGGTCTGTTGCTGGACCTTGTGATTCATCCAGAGTTTTGTTGATTGTATTGCACACATCAGCGTATTTGGGGCACACAATTTTACCATTCAGTACATCCCCATTCACAGTTAGATTTTTTCCTTCAGGACAACTGTACCAATTATCGTTTCCACTGTACCGCACAATTACCTTGTTGAACTTGCAAGACACCTCCACACACACGGCACCAACTGCTGCATTTTTAGCCTTTAGATTCTCCCCCTGCACACAGCGCGAGTTGGCAGCAATTACACTTCCAGGCATTTTGCTCTGATCCCCATCGGTGCAGCTCTTTTGCGGTAATGCCATAATAAACGGGCAGTAATCCATTATTTGAGGAGGTCGTGAACCAACCTTTTTGTTCTCTGAAAAGTATTGGAACTGCTCGGGAAGGGGATTCCCATCGGTTGTCGTTGTGATGCTGCAACTCCCCAGCGACTGGCGGTCAGATGTGCACTGTAGTGACTCAGGACCCTCAGTGGATTCGGTTGTGCAGAACATATCAGGGAATTTAGTACTGCCTTCCTTCACACATTTATCATTCAAGAATTCACAACCAGCTTTATTGCCCCAACTCATCTGCTCTGCCATTGTCCAATTAACTTTGTAGTAGCCCAGATCAGCGAAAGCTCCCAATGTGAGTGCGGTGTAGTACCCAGCACCGACGAGACCAACCATCAACTCATCCTTTGCAATACGGCGACTCCAGTGTGACAGTGTCCTAAAACCTCTGTAGTGTAGTGGAAATCGTGTTGTCTCGACAACTTTCATTGTATCTGCAACACCCTCCAATTCTTTGCGGCGAGTGGCGCATTGGCTCGAGGGTTCAGATGCCATCATTGCGGTTTGTGCGTATAATGAACGTCTTTTCGAGAAGACATTTGATGAATGATGTACATTCTGTGTAAACTTGGCATCACTGGAACCCTCTTCTTCACGTCTCTCTTGCACAACACTGTCAACAGACTCCTTTGCTGTCAAACGACCATCAATAACATTACTGTGTGATTCTCCCAACTCATATTCCTCTTGTACACTTGCAACCTGAGCGAGGATGGCTGCTGCTTGTGCACTATGTGGTGTTGGCGCAGACTGACTTGATACAACAGAACTCGTTCCACTGAGAGGTCCTTTTTCCTCCTTTGATTTTTGCTCAATCACCAGACGTTGTAGTTCCATGCCCTTTGCAGAATCACATTTATAATGCTTCATGGTCTCTCTCCGTGTGTTGTCAGAAGTGACAAGCGAAATTATTGTTTTCTCACGCAATGTAACACCTCTACGCACCATGCTTTTACTTTCCATCACCTCGAGATCGAAACCAAGTGCATGAGCAATCTCATGAGCAGCAACGCGGACACGCTGTGGTGTGGCCACAATATACCGTGGACCGTAATTGATGATTCCAATAACTGGACGACCATTACGACCCAATGTCGCACATGTTGCCGCCCACGCGAATGTTCCTTTAGGAGTTGGGGCAGCAGCAGCAAAAAGCACCATATCATAACCGGAAAAATTCCTGGTTTTGTCCTTATACTCTTCCGGTATGAACTTGGAGCAAAGATTCTCATCAGAGAAATTCGGCACGACAATAGAACCATTCAATCGTTTAACAAAAAGGCGTTCCTTGTGCAGTTTAATTGCCTCAGGGAGAATCTCATCAACAAGAATTTTCTTTTTCTCTGCCGTCAAGATATCATCTTCTTTGCAAGTAAAGTTATCTTTCAAAAAGAATTTGATCGTACTGACACCATCTGAACAGTGATGTGCCCCCTCTTTCAAATGATCAGAGACAAGTTTAATGCGAATGGGTTCCCATCCTTCCTGAGGATCTTTTCTGATGGGAAGTTTGGCTTTCTTAGGTTCAAACGAATCAGCACTTTCCTTGGGATCCCTACGACGGCTCTCGGTTGTCATTCCAAGTAAGCAATCATCACCATTAAATTCGGCACCAACATGCATCATCACTCTGTCGTGTATGCAGCGGTGGTGCTCTGTCACAGCAAGAGTGACAAGGGTGCAGTACAGAAGGAGCAACGGAGCAAACAAGAAGAGACGCCGCATTCCTTCACGTGTAATCTTGAAGAGTTTGTGTATTTGTGTGTCTGTAAGCAAAGAAGAGAAGAAAAAGAAATATTGGCAACAGAAAATCAAATGCAAGATTATCAAGCATAGAAGGAAAAATAAGGAGGAAATGGGAAACCATGACCCCACCCATAGAAAAAGAGAGAGAGAGACACATGAAAGTAACAGAGAGCCACTGTCAAGCAGACTGTGGATACGCACAATGAACACGTGGCGGGGCCGCATCAGCCCCACTGCACGGGCACAGGCGGTGGGAGGGGGTTGTGTCAGAAACG